TTTCAACATATGTTGCTTTCTTATAACTAAATGTAAGGAAACTAGCTTACTGTAAAATAATAAATACAAATTTGAAGTAGGGACTTTAAAAGTATAGTCGTAGTCATTGACGCCTTCCCTTTTCTGTCCTTGTCTTACAAACGTGATTCCATATATATTATATGTACGTTAGAAAAGGACAAAAAGAAAAGTATAGGCCAGAAGGATCTTTTATGGTTTTATGGCTTTTCATTGCAAAATTAAAAATTGTTGCATTTGAAAAAAATGATTTTTAAATATTATATTCGTAATGTACATGTTAATACAATTACAACGATATAAAATTTTTTGCAAATATTTTTAAATTTTTGAGAATTAATTTTAATTAATGGAGTATTTATTGTATAATCATTATGTAATTTTAGAGTTTTTACATAATGTTTTATATCATTGGAATCGTTAAAATCTATAAATTACAAATATAACATTTAAAAAAATATTTATTTAAATTTAAATAATTTTTTATTTTGCATTAAAAAGTCATAAAACCTGATGGACCCTCGAAAGGACCCTTCTATTGGAAGAAGGGAATATATAATATAATAGAGTTATATGGTGGGTTTGAGTGGCCTTGGTACCTCTCTTGGAACCCTTTTTACAAAAAAATAAAACGTAGTGAGAAATCGTCACTTTTTAGAAAACGTCAGGCCCATAAAAACTATTTAAGTCAGAATTAGTCAGCAGCATCACAGAACATCAAAATAGTCTCAAAACGTCAGGATTTCTGACGTTTTGAGACTGATTTCTGATTTTATTTTTAGCAGGGAAGTTTAAAAATATTTTATCAAAAATTGATTTAAAAAACTAATAAAATTATTACTAAATTTAAATAATTATTATTTCTTTTAAATCAAAAAATAAAAAAAATCTTACCAGTTGAAGATTCTGCGGGTTTAGGTTTTTCTTCCATTTTACAACTTGGAGGTTTTAAAGTTCCTCTCTTTCTTTACATCACTGTAAAAACAAGTGTGTAACTGCAAAGAACTTCAAGTGCATAAACGATGTCCCAGTTCTGAACACACTTCAAGTGCATGGAGGTAATGCATTTGAAGTGTGTTCAGAACTGGGACATCGTTTATGCACTTGAAGAGCTTTGCAATAACATACTTGTTTGTACAGTGTAATTTGACTAATAACTTTATTGTACAGAGTTGCAAAGAATAATAACGAAATAATAAAAATAAAAAGAGAATACAATTAAAAGCAATGAGAAATTCTTAACTGATTGAGGAAACAAAAAGGTTAAAACTGTAGTTTTAAAAATATATAAATATGTAGAAAAAGGGCGAATATTCATTGCATTTCAAAATAATATTAATCTAGACGTAATTAAAATAATTGAATAGAGGAAAACGATATGTTTATATATTGTGACAATTGTACACAGATTTTCAAAAATATTTAATTATAATCCTTACGTCATTCATTGTCCACTTTTCATTGCCACATCCCGAGGTATGCATTTCGGCATTAAGTATTCAGTTTTTCATTTTCTATGCAATACGCGTTGCTCTTCTTGGGTAAAGAAATCAATTAGGTTATTACGATGATCTTGTATAAAGGTTTAACCCTCAAAACAAGTTTAGCTTTATCAATTTATATTCAACATAACGGTAAAAAAAAGAATGGAATTTCTCTCGTGTCACAAGGGGTGTTTTCGGCATTTACTCAGAGTTAACTCTAGAGTTAACAGTAGTGCTCAATGATATTATCTTTGAAAATTTATTTACCTAAATAAAATAATTGATTTTCTATTTTCATCACCCTGAGTTTGAAGTTAGTTGTCCTTGTTTGCTTACTTTTTTTTAATTTATACGTATTTTTTGTTTTTCATTTAATAATGGAACATATTTTTGCTACCCATAAACGTGTTATTTTTTTAAAGTTTATAATTTTCAAATTTTTCATTATTTCCCTAACTTTAATTAATCTGAATTGTTTTAGAAACTAGATTATTTATTTTAATTAAAGTTGTTTTTTATAAATAAAAAGTTAAAATAATCTTTAATAAAAATAAATTATTATGTTTCAATTTACACTTTTCAAAACAAACAATCCGTTCACAAATTTTGTCGGCCATTAAAGGTTAGGACTGACCCTTTACCTTCTTTACTCTCGCAAGAAAACAGAGTTAACTCTGGGTCATCTAGTAATAATTTTTTGGGGACTTTTATGAAATCTAGAAACAAAAAATTTTATTTTAACATTACATTACTAGAATAAAAGGCCCGCTTCACATGTTGTTACAATTGCAAACCCTGCGCCAAACAAAATGAATCGTCTATGCCAAATTGCCAATCAACAACGTTCTCAACCAACAGACGAATTGAAAATCAAAATTTAGATTTGAGCACCACTGCTAACTCTAGAGTTAACTCTGACAATGAGTGAATGCCGAAAACACCCAAGATGTGAACACGCTTGTGTATATGTTAGACATTCTTTTAGTGAACAATTTAATGTATGAGAAAAAAAATTTAACCCGCTTTAGTCCCTACTCATATAGCATATACTTTCGTTTACAGGGTTTTGTATTAATTGTAATCATTACAAATTATCGATATATCCATAAAATCTAGCTGGAGCGTTTTTTTAACATAACTACTCGTTAGTAATCAGTTTAACCCGATCGGACTGACTCGCTGTACTTCGTCAAACTTCGGTGATTTTGGATATTTTTCTATCATTTCTATTTATATTAGTGTTATATGTAAATATAAGGAATAAAACTATTTTAACACCAATCCACTTTCTTATTGACTATATCACTTTTACCCTAATGAAAATCCCTGTTTAAGATCTTGTACAAGAAAATGTACATGTTCAGCAGTTGAACTTATACAAGATCTTGTACAATTTTGGCACCAGAATTTGGAACAAGTTCTTGTACGAGATTTCGTACAAGTACATATATTTAATATTGTATACAAGAAAATGTAGATGTTCTTGTACAGGTTTATTTATGTCTTCGTTTAGTAAACATTAAAAACTTTAAAGGCTGCGCAGTAGTTTTCTTAGGACTTTACAGCTGCGCATTAATTTTAGCATACATAAGTAAAGACTTTTATGATTCTAAAATTATTAAAATCTCATATTAAAAAAAAATTTTTAATGAACTTATACAAGAACATGAACGGTTTCATGTGTAAGTACTTCTACATTAACCTGCAGAAAAATATGTACAAGAACATGTATATTTTCTTGTATACAAATATTGAATATCTTTACTATATCTTGTACAAGTTCTGACACAAGAACTTGTTCCAAATTCTGGTGCCGAAATTGTACAAGATCGTTTACATGTTCTCTCCACACCAGGCACAAGTTCACCTGTTAAACATGTACATTTTCTTGTACAAGATCTTGTACAGGATTCAAACATTTTGAACGAACTTCCTAAGATGTTAAGAACATTGTTTATTTTACAATTCAACAATTAGTTTTGCATGAACAATGGGTAAATGTAAACAATAATTTTTTAATTTTATTTTTATTATTTTTAGGGTTCCGTACCCGAAGAGGGAACCCTATTAATGAGACTAGTGAAGCAAAGCATGTACCCCCCCCCCCTAGCGGCCACACGAATTTATCTACAGGGCTGAAATTTGGTATACATATGTATTTTGGCGTGTAGATTACAGGAAAAATATAGCGAATCTCATAGGAATTAATTATCATAGCGTTGTCAAGGAAAAACCATTAATTTTTACGAAAAATCCCTAAAAATTACTATGAACCCCCCCCCCTGGATGCCCCATCTTTTTACATAGAGAGCTCAAATTTGGTACACTTATGTATTTTTACGTGATAATTACAGGAAAAATATAGCGAACATGATTCGGATTAATTTACATAGCGTTGTCAAGGAAAAATCAAAATTTTGAAAAAAGCGATTAATCCTCCTAGCGCACACAATATTTGACGAAGGCAGTTCATATTTGGAATACTTACGTATTTTTGCGTGTAGATTACAGGAAAAATATAGCGAGCACAATTGGAGTTGATGTTCATATTGTTTTTAAGGAAAACTCATATTTTTAGAAAAAATCATGGATTTTTCGAATAAAAAAAGAAGAAAATTTTATCCTAAGGGATCCAAATTTATATTTTTTTACGTATTTTTACGTGTAGATTACAAAAAAAATATAGCGAAAACGATTGGAGTTAATTATCATAATGTTTTCAAGGAAAAACTGATAATTTTCGATAAAAATCATGATTTTTCCCCAAAAAACGAAGAATATTTTATCTAAAGAGTTTCAAATTTATACACTTTTACGTATTTTTGCGTGTAGATGACAAAAAAAATATAGCGAGAACTCCAATTGTGCTTGCTATATTTTTTTGTAGTGTTTTGCCATTCTTTATAATTTGCCATTTTCTTTTTTTTACCATTTGCTATTTTTTTTATCTTTTGACATTTTTTATTTGTTGATATTTTTATTATTTGGTGAAATCTAAGAAAAATCATAAAATTGAAAATGTTAAATGATAAAAAATTTTTTAAAAACTTATGATATGTATTTCCATGCTCACATTACAGGAAAAATTAAGCAAAATTGGAATTTTTCTATCGGCCTTCACACTTTAAACCCCTGAAATTTTAGGATTAGGGGTACGGAACCCTCGGTTTTAATGCGAGTGTAACTCGCACTTGTCCGATTTTTTATTATTATTATTATTATTATTATTATAATAATTATATTTATTCATTTCTATTTTATAATATATTAAACACTTTAAAGAACTTTAATTATTTATAATTCAAAGAATTTTAATTTTAAAAAAATCGTTTGAACCGTTTAATAACTTATAATAACGTCTTCATTTCATAACTTAGTAAATGAATACAATAAAATTGAGAATTTGCTGTTACACTTCAGGAATTTTTACTAAAAATTTGAAGCAAAGAATCGTAAGTGCCCTGTTTCTTGAAAATTAATTATATAACATGTTTTCAGATTCCCCATACAGAACAGCAATTAGTGGTGCCGTTTTGAAATTACAAGAAAGCGGCGAACTTGGACAATTGAAAGAACACTGGTGGAAAAAAGTAGAGTCAGATCCTAGTTGTACTACTAATCGTGGCAGTAGTGGAGGAGCCGATGCAGATGCCTTAAAAATGTCAAATGTTGGAGGAGTCTTCCTTGTTTTAATGTGTGGTTGTGGAGTATCATTTCTTATAGCGCTCTGTGAATTCATATGGAACGTAAGAAAGGTTGCTGTAGAAGAAAAGGTGTGTAACTAATTTAAAATATTAAATTTTCTAAAATTAATTCTGTCTACACAAATCCATATCTTTTGAATGCTTCTTATTGTTAAAATTAACTTTCATCTTTGGCCAATAAGCTTATAGGTACCCCCACTACCCACAGTGGGAGGAAAATGGAATCTTATTTATCAAAAAGAAGGAAAGTTCCTAAGGCTAGATATTCCTCTAAAGAACAATACATAATAATTAAAATACATATAAAATAACTGCAAATAATTAATAAAGGTGGTGATTAAACGAAATAATAACACAGGCACACAAAAAAAATTGTCTGCTTCTTGAACTAGACGTACCATTTCTATAGTATTTTGGCCCGCTGAAAACAAATATGAAGCCAGAATTGTACATCACCTTCTAATTTTTATTAAATCTAAAAAAAACCACCCTTAACTGACAAATTCAATCTTAGGGGGAGAAAAAAATAACAGATTTTTTTATTAAACAGAATTTTGGCTCTACTAACTCAAAAACAAAGCCAGAACTGATCCAGCACCCTCTAAACTTTTTTTAAATAAAAAAACTACCCTTAATCGGACATATTCAAACTTAGGAGCTAAAAAATTAAATAATAGATTTTTTTAAAAAAGAGAAACTTACACCTACCTATTTTTGCCCTCGGCTTTGTCAGACAAAGCCGAGGTAAGTGCTTGGGCGAACTTGGAGGTCCCCCCTTCTTTTTTAACCACTACGAGGACTTCTTTATTCAGGGTCCTCCTTATTTTTAAAACCTCGGTACCAGTTTGCTCTGGTTTAACAGAGGTTTTCATGAGTTGTAGGATTTTAGCTTAAGAGTCTTTATATTTTGCTGAAATCCTAACTGCCTCTGTATTCCTGGGCCTTGAAGGGCGCTTCAGAGTCTCAGCTCGCTTTTTAGCTTACTTTTTCAGAGATTTCTTCTTTTTATTAACGGCAAGCTGGAAGCTTTCACCGTACTTCTTGATGCTTTTTTATCACTCACAACTCCAGTCTCTTCAGAAAACAAGACATCATTTCCCTGCACCTGTGAAATAAGGGTATTGTCAGGAGCATCCTTGCTCTTGACTCTTTTCTCTTTAGGAGTCATCGGCTGCTGCCTTGCGTCAGGACTTCCGCCCTCTCTGTCGCGTTTTTTAGCTTCCTTTTGAGAGGCTGATGAACGTTTATAGCCTTCATTGTCAGTAAGGATGTTTTGACATTTCCTTTGGGCTGCTCGGAGACTTTAAAAGGTTCTTTAATAAATCGCAAGGTACTGCGAATTATCAAAAAAGCTTTCTCCAGAGCCGTCATATCGTCTTGAACATCTTTGCTGATGTTCTTCTGCCGTTTACACGCCTAACACATGCTGTCCAATACCTTCGGTAATGTTAGCAGCTGATTAGCAACATTAAACTCGAAGTTGCTGGTACCAAATTTTAAATAAACATATTTATTATTTTTCTAGTTATTACCATTAACAAATTTATGTTACATTTTTTAATTGGTCTATAACTTTTTAACTATTAATATTACAGAAAAGTGTAAAATACATTTTTTATAGGTAATATATTAAATTTTTAGAAAATAATTTTTATTGTAAAAAATTATTAATTTTTACATTATTTATTTAGAAAATAAAAATTGTTTTTAACATTTAAACATGTTATCGGTCAAATTTTGACTTGAAAAAAATCACACTTAATGTTTATAATAATAAAAAATTGCTGTCAAATTTTGTCGAATATAATATTTTTCATTTCCGAGACAAATATTTTAAAATGTGACAATGCATGAGTCTGGCGGGCGTTTTAGTCTGCCCTACGATCAAAAGGGTAGCGCCATGATATGTCATATTATGGTACAATTTCAAAACATTCACTTTTGCATGCTTTAAACAATTATTTTATTAAATCATATATATGGGGTACAATTTGTATTGCGTACTAAGTGAAAAAAAATTTGATTGGATTGGGCTGTTACTAGCACATAGTTTAGCCCTAGGGGTGAGTACTTTAACCATGAAGTATTGTTAAGTTTTTTAAAAAACTGTAGAAGATGGAGGGGGTTGAATTTTTTTGAAAAAGGTTATAGCCGTTAAGTATGGAAAAATTGCCCCCGCTCGTATTTTATTTATATTATTACTGTATGTTCCCACCCACATAAATATAACTTTCTGAAACTTTCAACTCAAAATTTCGCGTTTTTTGGGAATTATGAAGGAGAAAAAAAATTACTGAATTGATTTCAATGAGCTTTGGATATGTTACAGAGACAAGTAAAACGATTATAAAAAAAATTGTCAAAATTTTTTTTTTCACAAAAACTCAAAAATTTTTGGATTTTGAAATTTTCAAAAATTTTTTTAGGGGTTCCATTCAATTGGTACACCAAATTTCGATGCCTATAAAACGGTTTAAATTTTCAAAAATATTAAAATAAAATTTCTTTCTTTTTATTTTATCTAAGAAAAAACCCAATTTTCAATGTTTTTACTATTTTTTTTATTTTTCATGTACCAGGAAGGGTTTTTTAAGTTTACACATGTCAGGCATAATTTTTTTATTAAATGAAAAATGAGAAAAATGGTTTAAAAAAATTTAGTGTACCCCCAAAAAGATTTTTGAAAATTTAAAAATCTAAAATTTTTGGGTTTTTTTGAAAAAATTTATAGATTTTTAAAAATCTACTCCAAATTTGTATTCAAGAACTCCAAGAACTCCAGTCTAACAAGTTCCAAGAGAATTTAATTAATTTTTGAAAATTTGTCTGTCATACACTATATAAACATGTACCAAGCACGGTTTTTTGAGTTTTTCAACGTGACGCACTTTGAAATCATGTCGGGAATGAAACCCAAAAAAAATTAGAAAATTTTAATATTCAAAATTTTTGAGTTTTTTTTGAAAAAAGGTTGACAATTTTTTTTATAATTGTTTTACTTATCTCTGTAACATATCCAAATCTCATTAAATCCATACAGTAGTTTTCAAGAAAAAAGCGTTTTTTGATTTTTCTTTCCTCCTCCATAACTTCCAAAAAACGCAAAAATTTTAGTGTTAAAGACGGAAGTTAATTAACAAAAAAAATTTAATTTAAAGAGAAAATAATAATGTTTAGAAGGAATACTAATTTTTACTATTAACAATTCCGCTTATAGGTAAAGCGTAAATTGCTTTTCGCTAATAAAGTTAGAATAGGGTAGTGGAGTGTCGCCTAGTATATTATCAATTCAATAAACCCGGATAGACGGTATTCAAGAAAAAATATTAAAAAGAGAGATAAGATTCTGTATTTTTCAAATAATGTATAGATATTCAAAGAAACTCACCAGAATAATAATAATTAAAACGATACAGAAAAGTATCAAATTACTTTTCGAACTTTTAAGAGTTTAACACTCGTACTTGTCAAACGATTTCAAAGTATGCGGAAGTTGTTTTGCCTTCCTTTATTCTTTATATTTTCCTTTTCAATAAATTTGTATTAATTACTTTTTCTTTAAAAAAATTATTTCAATATTCCAAAATCCGCTTTAAAATTCAGAGTATTGGGTTCACCAAACCTGAAATTTCCCAACAGTTAATTTGAAATATCAACATTTGTGATATCAATAAAACACTTTCAAATTTTATCTGGAATCTACACTTTTATCATTTATGACACTTTATACTGGATAATTAAATTTCTTTTTTCAACGAACAAACTTAATGATTTTAACCCTTACTGCGGGGAACAAATAATAATCTTAACCACTCTTAGTGGGAGTAAAACTTTATATTCCTCCGCCTTTTTTCCGGAAACGCATCCGCCTTGCGGTAATGATAATTTGAGACTCCTCGAATAATAATTCGGTGGCAACGATCACACCCTGTTTGTATATAATAATTTTAAGTAGTGGGAGGGTTGATTTTGCAATTAACACCTCGTTGTTTGCATGCAAGTTTTAGCGAACTTTCATTTTATTAGTGGCGTGATCGGTTCAACCACTTAAATGAACTTTGTGATTTTTATATATTTCCTAATTATCCAAAATAATGTGGCAACTTCTATACATTGTAAGTTTCACAATTAGCAAAGTTGATTGTACTTTAGTACGTGTTATTTCGCAATATGAAGTTCAATAACCTTAATTCATTTACGAAATAACTATTGATTTCAGAATTAAAATAAATGTAAAATAAAATTGTAAATAATTATTAAATTAATTTGAAACAATAATTGAATATTTAAAATTAGAAAATTTTTTTATATATATATGTGTGTGTGTTGTACAGGGTGTTCCAAAAGTATGGAAACTTGCAAATATCTCGAAAAGTACGATTTTTTGTAAAAAATGTTAAAGACAAAAGTTGTTCCAAACAAAAAGATGTACATCTTTGAAACAAAAAAATTAGGCCCGGAGCCCAATGTTGGGCCCAACAATGATAAAAGTGGTTTTCTTAAATGAGACCACTAATTTTCAGTATCAAATTCGTAAGCCCCATGAAATTCTGCGTTCAGACATGTGGTATTAGTGCCCAAAATATTCGGCCCAATCCAAGATATTGTTCCACATTTTATCAACAGATAAATAAATTTTAAAAAATCGCATCTTGGAGGGATTTTGAGATCATAGGATTAGAAATTGAGCATAGAGCCCAATGTCAGATTCTGCAGCCCAATATGAGGGGCCAATATTTTTGGAATTTGTACCACAAGTCTAAGCCCAGAATTTCATAACGATTACGAAATGGAAGGAATCTAATTTTTTACTGTAGGGTTCACATTGGGCTGCAGAATCTTACATTGGGCTCTGTGCCCAATTTGAAAAGTTGCTTTGAATTTTTAATCCTGTGTCCCCAAAAACTCCAAAAGATGCGATTTTATAAATTTATTTATATGTCAAAAAATGTCGAGCCCAATCCCAGACATTGGGCCCAATATTTTTTGGCATTTGTACTACAAGTCTAAACCCAGAATGAAATGGATACTGAAAATTTGTGGGTTTTATTTAAACAACTAATTTTTTT